CAGTCACCCCGGACATTTACAATACAGCAGGATAATCTTAATACTCAGTTCATATCCCTATCCGGACTAATCCATTCTCCGGGTCATGATTGAAGAAAATGATAACCGGAAGTCCGTTACGTCCATCTGGACAGTATCAATAAACTACGAGGGCATGAAAAGATTCATCCGGACGGTAGCATTATCGGAAAATTGCGGTCCTTGTTATTTAGCTTTTAAGATATATATCCGGGAACGACAATTAAATAGTTTGCACAACAGTAGGGAAGGGAGTACTGTCCGGAAAATGCTCAAGCGCATTCTTTACTATAAATGCATCAGGATATGCAAAAAAATATTTATTTCATTTGTTTGTCCTTCATTTTTGTTTGACAAATTCGCTGAACATTGTTACAGCCATACTGCAACGAACGAAATCCATGTTCTCTGTACGAAGATGAGACCAATATTTTCCTAGGGCATGGCATTCGACATACTTTAGACAGAAAATCCCGCAATCTCTAGATTGCTCCATTTGCGGTACTCCCTGGAATACGTCTACACCATCGGCGAAATGGAATGCATTTATATATCGAATATTGTAATATTTTATAGTTTTGTAAAATTTCCGTGTTGTAAAATTTCGGACTGTGTATATACTTTTCATTGTCAAATTTTGTACTGTTTACTGTTTTCATTGTTAACGATTGATGATATCTACTCACCCCGAACATCTAATTGAGCAAACCCCGGATATACTTCAAGGCCGGTTGAGATCGTTTCCCGGAAATTTTACACCCGGACAAATAACCAAGACTATTTTTTATTTTCTATAATTTCAGACCAAACCCCGGATAATACGACCTTTCCGGATATACGCCCTTTCCGGGTCGTGAATGAATATATTGTTTGAGACGTGTCCTTTCTCCGGATGGTAATTTCATAAAACGACATCCGGACAGCGTGACGTCCGGTTGTCGTTGGCAGGTGTATGCAACCCTGACACATGAGTGACGGAAAACTCCAATCCGGATCGGATGGCATCTCGGTATGCGGGATATCTGAACCTCGACACTACTTCACAAACCTATCAATCTATATAAGGGGTGTTGTGTCTACATATCCTGGATTATCACACAACAACCATTCGCATGGGAAAAACGTGAGTACATGCATTTTTGCCAGAAAGAGGATGTATGCCTTTAAACCGGATACAGATTGCATCTAAACAAATAATGGAATCCATATAAGGGATGCGGGAAGTGGGGCACAAGTTCGGTCTACAGCTGACGAGTTGGTCGTGTGCTCGATCTCCTGCTTGAATCTTTATCACACCGCGGACACGTGTTCTATCCCGCTTTGCCTGGACGTACTGGCTCCAGCCGACGTACGACATGTCCGGATGGGATGAGAAGCGGTCGGTAGGTTATATCCCCTCCTACGTGTGACATTCATGAATACGTGTTCGAAGAAATCGACTATAAAAACGACATTGTTCGTTTCAATCTGTGTAAATTCGAAGAATTATTTCAATAAAATCCTTTAAATTTTGGAATTATGATTCGATCTACATATGTATTGGTTGTAATAAAACATAAATATGATAATATTAATTCAATTTTGAACTTTGTAATCTAAGTATGTATTGGTTGTAATAAAACATAAATATGATAATATTAATTTTTTTGCAATAGTTATAATTTGTAATCCGGATACACTTACACACATAAATATGATAATATCAAAGTATGGGACGGCCACATGCATCTGGTACTTTTAACTTGCATACTCCGGACATCCGGACAGACGAGGTAATCTGTCCGGACAGCTATAGTTTGGGTCGTGATTGGTAATCTTCGGGCTCATCCGGACAAAGGACATCAATCCACATGCATCCGGTACTTTTAACTTGCATACTCCCGGACATTCGGACAGACGACGTAATCTGTCCGGACGGCCACAGTTTGGGTCGTGATTGGTAAATTGGACAACCGGGGTTGTACGATTTATATCCAGGAACAAGTGTGAAGAAGTCCGGACACGAACATAAGGGAATCGAGTGTTGTATGGGTATTGTGAGACCGCATACAGATATGTAACACAGTGGAAAAACCATAAATCTTATTTTATTTTTTTCTTCCTATCTATATAGAAAAGGTTAAACATTGTCACATACATACTACAACGAATGAATTCGATGTTCTCTGTATGGAAAGGAGACCACTCTTTTCCTAGAGCATGTCATTCGACATACTTTAGACTGAAAATCATGCAATCTCCAGATTGTGCCATCGTAGGTGCTCCCGATAACTTTTCCAGTCCATACCGGTCCCTTGAAAATTTGTGTCTATCTTCAGAAGACGCACAATGATGCAGCACCCAAGGTATAACTGTGGCGTACATACCCATCCGTTTTTCCATCTCCTCATGACTGATGGTAAACTCCAACGAATCAAGGTATGTGATGGTTCGTTTGTCGGGATACAGGATGAGGGTCACCCAATGTTGTCCTCCGTAATTCGCCACAGTGTAAAACCAGTCAACATCCCGGACCAAACTCTTCTTTGTTGGATATGGAGTTGGCAAATCACCATTCACCATTCGTCGAAATGTTGCCATGGTCTCACCTTGTATGATGCCACAATCTTTCAGTTCATTGTTCGCCACGCCGACGTAATGGTTGAACACGGAGTCCAAGAATGCGATCCTTGGATTGGGAAATAAAGTAGGGTCTTCAAACAGTATCTTCCGGAGAACACTTAGATAACGATCCAAATGTTGCACAAGATAACAGAAAACATCAGATCACTGAACCAAAAATTACAAGAGGGTTATACTAATTTTGCTACTCTTAAAATACTTACATCATCGTTCAACCACTTCTGAGGGTACATCATTTGACTCCAAAAATGACGCATTTCCTTCAGCAGAGACTTGTCTTTTCCACCACTGTTGTAAACAACAATCATCAGCCATAGATAGTCCAATATACAGAATATAGTTTCACAATTTCAATGGATAGAGAACTTACATTTTCGTTACAGAACGCGATAGTGAGCTCCTCTCTTTCTTCTTCCAGGTTGCTCTCTCACTGTCATTCATATTCGCCCAAGGGAATGGATCATATGTATTAACTTGCCCTTGTTTCACATCCGGCTGTATGAGATTCTTAACAGCAGTATCAGCTTTGTATGGGGTCTTCAAAGCTGCACTTAGCCCTCGCTCCCTTTTCACCGCATCATATCTGAATGAAATGAGCAGGTTGTTCTCCATTGAAATCTCCTCTTGCTATTTCACCACATATTCCTGCCAGCTTTTCTTCTTCTCCATGAGAATACCCTCAGCCTCCTGTAATTTTTTCTCCCTTAACGAAAGGGCCTCCTTCTCATCTCCAGCTCTTGCTCTCGGACTGAAATAGCATCCGCCGGGACTCCCAACTCCTTCTCCTTCTCCAGCTCTTCTGTACGGACGGAAACAACATCCGTCTTAGCACCAACCTCTTTATCCCGGACATTAACCGCTTCGTTATCCTTCTCCGGCTCTTTCTCCCGGACTGAAAGAGCATCCGTCTGGACTCCCAACTCTTTCTGCTTCTCCAGCTCTTCTGTCCAAACGGAAATAGCATCCGCCTTACCAACGAGCTCTATCTCCCGGACATTCAGCGCTTCCTTCCTCTCGTCCAACTCTTTCTCCCGGACGAATAGTGCAACCATCCTCACACCCAGCTGTTGCTCCCGGATCGATAGAGCTTCCCTCTCCTTATCCAGCTCTTCAGCCCGGGCAGAAAGACCATCCATCTTGACAGCCAACTCTTTCTCCCGGACAGATAGAGAATCCTTCTCCTTCTCCAGCTCTTCAGCCCGAACAGAAAGAGCGTCCATCTTCACACCCACCTCTTTCTCCCGGCAGGATAGAGCTTCCTTCTACTTCTCCAGCTCTTTAGCCCGGACAGAAAGAGCGTCCATCTTCACACCCAGCTCTTTCTCCCGCCAGGATAGAGTTTCCTTCTCCTTCTCCAGCTCTTCAGCCCGAACAGAAAGAGCATCTATCTTCACACCCAACTCTTTCTCCCGGCAGGATAGAGCTTCCTTCTCCTTCTCGAGCTCTTCAGCCCGGACAGAAAGTGCTTCCATCTTGACGCCGAGGTCTTTCTCCCGGCCGGATAGAGTTTTCTTCTCCTTCTCTAGCTCTTCAGCACGTACGGAGAGAGCATCCTGCTTCACACAAAGGTCTTTCTCCCGGACGGAAAGACTTTCCTGGAGATCGTCCAGCTCTTTCGCCCGGACGGAATCAACATCCATCTCCACATCTTGCTCCCGGATAACAACACTGGTGTTGTGTTCCTCCCGGGCAGATACAGCTTCCTCCTCGGCGTCTAGACCTGACTCCCATACAGCAGCATCGTCCGTCAACTGCTCTTCTAGCTCCCGGACGAAGATGTCCTCCTCCCTCGCCTTGACGTCGTTGTTCCGGACAGTCTCACCGTCCTCGTCAGCATCTATCTCTGTCTCTCGGATAGAAAGACCATCTTTCTCAGCATGGACCTCTTTATGCCGGACAGCGAACACCTCCATGACATTCAACTCTATCACCCGGGCATCAATGACTTTCTCCATTGCCTCTACCTCTCTCTCCCGGACAGACAGAGCATCCTTCTTCTCCTGTATCTCTATCTCCCTGTTAGATAGAGTATCGTCAGGGTCTAACATCAACCATGATGACGCCTTCTCAGTGCATTCCATGATCTTCGCATTTATCGCGTCTTCCTTTAGGAGGAGGCTTTGTTCTTTCTCAAGCAAGACAGCTTCCCGCTTTCCCAAAATGATTGTTCTTTCACTGAACAATTCATGCTCCTTAGTATTCAACATTTTCTCCTTCTTACTACGACTTCTATTTTCCTTCATTTTAACTAGGTATCGTAGATTTCCATCCATCCGCTCCAACAACACCCTCACGTCTTCCGTAGGAGTCTCCATCCTCTTCTCCTCTAAATTTCGTCAGGTCTTCCGTTTTTTCCTCCATTATGGAACACCAACGCTGTTGTCCTCCACAATTACTACATTCTTCTGTTTCTTCCTCGGACGGGGTTGCACCACAAAATCTTCGTCTCCCTCACTTGAAACAGTCTGAGGTTCCTCCTGACTAACTGCCATTACTGTGTTCCCTTCAGTCTCCTCAGCACTACGACATCTCCCCTCTGTTGGGGCATCATCGGATGTGCTTCTCCCAATCAACAATGATTGATTGTTGGAAAGCAATTCCAACATTTTGGTGACTGTGGCGTCCTCAACCTCATCTTCAAACTCACTACATTCAGTGGAAAGAGGGATAATGTAGTGTAGAATGCCACAACTCTTTTCTATCTCAGTCACCATGTCGTTATCAATTCTCTTGCAATAAAGACCCCATTTACCACCAAGTGGTGGAATTGACCCTTCAAATTTTGAAAACATGTCGCCGAGTGTGGAGATTGTTTCCATCGCCCAGAGTCGAAGGCCGAGAATAAATCCATGGACTGTGTAATTTGTTTTGGTCAACTGTGTCATATCAAGCAAGTGAATTGACTCCAGTAGATGGACGAAGGACTTTCTGCCCCAGTTGGTTGCTTCAAACTCAGCCAAGTTGCTGACCAACTTCATATAAGTCTTCTCAACTGGCCTCCTTTTCTCTTGAGGGACTAGAATTCCACACACAATCACCAAATAGTGCAACCTTCTTCTGTCATCCGCAGTCCAACCTTCCATGCTTAGCATGTCCAACAAGTCCTTCAGAGTAACATTCTTCTTTGCAAGCTGACCAAAACGTCCCTGGTCCTCACCCTCCATCACTATGTTCTCAGGATCCTTGTGGCAGAGCATTCCTGTCAGTTCCCTGAACTCCAACAAAGAAAACCTTAAAGGTTGGCGCCCAAACATACACCACATCTCGTACTTCTTTGTCGTTACGATCTGTCGAGCTAGAATGTGGTGAAGCATGACTTTGGATATGGAAAATCCATTGTCAAATAGCCTGAACAAAAATCCAAAGACAGAAGCCCTCATTCCACCCCATTCTTCTTCACTCATGATCCTCTTCAACTCTGACATGCAATTCCCAAACTTGCATACATCGTTCATATTTTTCTTCAAGTCTGGTTCTTCTCCAGCAGGAAAGTATCGTTTTACTTGTAAAACGTCCATTGCAATCTGCCCAATACAATATACAACAAAAAATTCAGGTAAAAAACTATACAAAACTTCAACAAAATACACCACCCTATATTGCCCGGACACTGAACAATCACCATGCGGATACAAAGCAATATCCCGGACATGTATGAAGATATCCGGATAATATGTATATGAATAACCATCCGGATGGGATAACCGGACATACAAAAGCAATCTGCTGGACATATATTTAACATTTCGGACAATATGAACGGTCGGCCGTCCGGGTACATACCCTGACTATATACGTCCGGGGATAAACCCTTACCACTCTTATAAGATCACCAAATATATCCCGGACATTAAGCAACGTCTAAGCAACCGGATACTTCACCACAACACAGGGAATGTAGTATATCTGTCCGGATACTACAGTGGAGAACGGGAGCCATACGTTACGGTAACCAATATTAAAATCTTCAGCACACATACTTTACGGGAAACCCATTCACGTACAATCAAACCATAACCTCTCTCGAAAAGGTGACATAACCTCAAACACGTACAACCATACTTTGCGGGACACGAATCGTAATAACCTCAAACACATTAAAATAAACGAATAACATACCTGTTATGGAATGTATAATCTTTGCGTTGAGTATCGCCGAGATTCGTGTGTCGTCGGGATTCTTGTGTTTCGCCCTAAAATCGTCTTCGCCCTAACTGTTCTTCGTGTTTTAAAAAATGAGTTTTGGAGAGAGAGAAAAAATGGCGGTTCCATTTTGTTCTCGACGTGACGCACCCGCTTCAGGGGTATTTTAGGAAAAAAATGTATACTTTGCAAAGGTCACAACATTTTTGTCACACTTTGCAAAACATGTCATCTTTTCGTCACACTTAGCCAAGAACCCCTTTTTTTTTCAAACTCCATAATAAAATTAAGTTTGTCTCAAATTATAACTTATCATTTTTTGAGATCCGCCGCTACTTATACGCATCGTTCGTATATCGAAGTATTTATGATTCACCTTTCATGTATATGGTTTTAGTGTGCCAGATGTCTAGTTTTAATGATTAAATTAAAATTTAGTTTTTTTTATATTTCTCAATAAATTATGCTTTATTCCATTTAGTCACCATCACCACCATAAAAAAAATTATCGCCATAGATCGAAATTGAGTAGAATCTAAAATTGTCATTGTAAACGCATGTGTCCTTGTGTTCGATCCTAGATACTACGATTAATCTGTATATTTATGGTAATTGTGTCTAGAAAAATAAAATAAAATTAGATCGCACCCTAGATCACCATCACTTGTACCTTATCAAAGTATTCACCATTCATGTGTATGGTTTTAGTGTGGCAAATATATAGTTTCAACGATATAGTAAATTTTAGTTTTTTGGTATTTCTCAATAAATTATGAATGAGAATATAAAAAATACTCGATATAAACAATTTTAGTTTTTATTTAAGGTTTGTAACATATTAAACTAAAATTTGGACCCTTACTAAATTTTATTTTTTACTCCAATCAATAAACATCAACATACAAAAGCATGAGCATATATGTGATAGTCATTGGGAGTCACAACTAGCTATTCCCCTCTCAACATTCGCAGAAACATCTACCGCCGTTACAATTCATGATCTTGCAACCTTTGGGACAGAACTTGGCACAATCTTTGTCCTTATGACACGACGATTTCGCATCGATCTCTGCCATGGGAGGCGAAACCGGTATGCAGTTACAGTCTTTCTGGCCCGGTGGACATCCTCCTATGCAGTTCAGTCCCTCTTTCTCCATCTCTCTCGTTTCGGTCACCGAAAATGATGAACCTAGACATACACATACACATACATTTTGGAAGAAAACAATAGCGTTAAAAGATATAACAATATAATCTATATATATATATATATGTTTCGTTACACATGTATGAACATTCAAGATTAAGAGATCGAAGAGATAGAATAGAGGATACGAGACTAACAAAATGCAATAAGGGCGATCACAGCCAAGAAAGCTAGTTTCAAATAAATCTTCAACATTTTTTATTTTAATTGTTATTGATGTTTTTTAAAATGTTGTTGCATGTATTTATAATGGGTAATACTTTAATGGTTATAATTTTGGGTAAAGTGTTAATTATAACCATACCTATACATACTTAATGTGGGAGATACTAACTGAGTATGTCTTTATTTAAGTTCTATATCGGTCAACAAGGTATCAAATGGGTGTCGGATAGGATTTTAACCATATTCTATATGGTATCATACCATGCATGTCTTTGACTATTAAATACCAATGTATTATGGTAGGATTTTGACCATATTCTATATGATATCATACCATTCATGTAATTTGACTATTTAAATACCAAATGTATTAGGATTTTGATAACGGTAGTAATATTATTTCCAAAATTTTAACATGCGATACAAATAACAGAAAAAAGATAGTGCATAATAAAATAAAATTAGGTTTTTTGAATTTAATTCTAATAAAATTTGCATGGATTTTGGAGAGATATACGACAAGCTTATACGGAAATCATAAAATTGATGTTTATTCGTGGAATTTAACGAATATTGGAATGATTTAATGTTATTGGGTGAAATAAAAAATATTCTTTATTTTTCGACTTGACATAGTATTAGAATTATGAAAAATATTTTTTTATAACATTTGGCCCAATGGATTTGAACCTTGGTTGTGTCGTTGAACAAATGACTATTTTGATTGCCAAGAAGAGGGGGTACAAATAATGTATACAAAGAATACAATCTATACCGTTATCAAAAAAAGAAAAAGAATATATATATATATATATATATATATATATATATTACAGATATATTTTTCATTTGCCGATATAGTACGATCTAAAAAGTATGTAAGTACTAAAAATTATTTATTTCACATTTTATCACAATATTAGGATGTTCTTTTGTTTTTTTTTTTGTCTTAGTCAATCAATCTTTTGTTTCCCCCATAAATTATTTTTTTAGTTTTGAAAACCAATAAATAATCACATAAATGTTTATAGCCATATATAAATTATGAATATGATGTTCCAATTATTTTAACTTATTACCTTTCTTGTTCCATCTTACTTAAGTTTTCCCTTTTTAAATAAAACTGTTGTTTTTTATTTTATTTAATTAAAATCTTCTTAATAAAGAAAAGAAAGTAAAAGTTGCCCATTACCGGACAAAATATTTAGAATATGATAAATGCATGCGAGCAAGCTATTAGTTCAAATGCTTGTTCACTTCTAGATAGCCGTAAGTTCAAACCTTAACTTTAGGATAATATGTTTCATTTAATTTATGAGTTCATACAAAACAAAGTATACACAACGTTATAAAATAAGGATAAGTTTTAAAAAATTTAATATTCACGACAATTGTATTCTGTTGATAAATTAATTGAATATATATATATATATATATATATCAAATATTTTGTATTATTTAGACGTTTTCCAGGATAACTCGGTTGAATACGTTAATATTAGACATATATGAAAGCATTTATAATTGATAAAGCTTTATTCGATATTTATTTATTTATTTATTTATAGCAATTAGGACACAAAACGGCCTCAATATCCTACGGAGGTCGCGACAACAAAGTCACATGTGCAAAAGCCTTTAACACAAATAGGTCCATTGCCATAGCATATAAGAGTTCTACAGTCTTTGTCGGTCGTGCATTTCTTCTTCGACTTGTCCTCTCCAACATCTTCCATCACTCTCGTACATTTCACATCTGTCATTACACAAATATATATAACACTATCAAAAAATCATATATATATATATATATATATATATATATATGGATAACTAAAAAAGGGTATCATAAGGCTCTTGAAAGTCTTATCTTAATACTATGTTTTAATAAATTAAATTAAATAAATATATTATATATATACAAATGTCTCATTGAAGCTAATAATGTTCAAGATGAAGGACTCACGAGACATTGTGATGATCAAGAGAGCAAAGAGGATTACGGTGAAGTAAGTCTTCGACATGTCCGTTTTTTATTTTGTTGTTAAAAAAGATATGAAAAATGTTTTGATGCAATTGTTGGAGAGGCCAAGAACCATAGTTCTATTTATAGGTTTAGAACTATAAACACCAAATCCATTTGGATTTTGTTAAGTATAATAATATTATTACCAAAATTTAATACGCAATCTAAATAATAAAGGATAGAAACTACGAAAAATAAAATAAAATAAAATAAAGTTTTTTTGTTTATTCCAAGAAAACGTGTAGATATCAAAGTTTATATGAAAACTCTAAGGTTAACATTTGGCAGTAGAATTTAACAAATATTGGGATAATTAAGTGTCGTTGGATGAAATCAAACATTGGTCTCTATATTTTGACTTTATAAAATATCTAAATTATGAAAACATGTTTCTTGAACACTCTATTCGATAAGAAGAATGAAAGGTATAGATATTTATGTTATAACAATTTAGATTATAACATAAATATTATCATTTATATTATAAATAATAAGAACTAGATTAAAAACTATTCATACAACATATATATTTTAGATGTATATATTATTTTGTTTATCAATGTAAATTGTATGAAATATTTAATAAATATGTTTGGGATATACAGAGAGTTTAATCTAGTTAGAATATGATTACATGTAAATAATTTGTATTGTCAGATAGCATATCTATCGAATTTTACTTCATTTATATATTACTAGATATCTTTTGTATATTTTACACTTTGACTTTAATGTTTATGATGTTTTGTGGGAAAACTGGAGTTATGAGCATAAAACGAGGTATTTTCAAGGGAATCGAACCATGTGAAGTAAAATGCGGAAACAACCCGAAGTACTTAGAGCTGAAAACGAAGGACACTGCCGAGCATGACACACGATTGGATGATCTTTGAGTCCCGATCGATCGATCGATCGACTCATCAGAGAGTCGTTTATATTATCTTACACCGCATAAATTAATTGAAAATATAAAAATAAAGATTAAGTTATTTGTCGCTAAAAAAAATATTATTTATTATAAATAATAGTTCTTAATTTTACCCTAATATAGCAGTAACTATTATTATTTTTAAAAACATTTTGTTAGATTGGATAATAATTCGATCATATTTTAACGATTATAGTAAGAGCTTTTTTTTCCCAAACTCCATAATAAAATTAAGTTTGTCTCAAATTATAACTTATCATTTTTTGAGATCTGTCGCTACTTGTACGCATCGTTCGTATATCGAAGTATTTATGATTCACCTTTAATGTATAAGGTTTTAGTGTGCCATATGTCTAGTTTTAACGATTAAATTAAAATTTAGTTTTTTGGATATTTCTCAATAAATTATACTTTCTTCCATTTAGTCATCATCACCATCATAAAAAAATTATCGCCATAGATCGAAATTGAGTAGAATCTAAAATTGTCATTGTAAACGCATGTGTCCTTGTGTTCGACCCTAGATACTACGATTAATCTGTATATTTGCGGTAATTGTGTCTAGAAAAATAAAATAAAACTAGATCGCACCCTAGATCACCATCACTTGTACCTTATCAAAGTATTCACCATTTATGCGTATGGTTTTAGTGTGGCAAATATGTAGTTTTAACGATATAGTAAATTTTAGTTTTTTGGTATTTCTCAATAAATTATGAATGAGAATATAAAAAATACTCGATATAAACATTTTTAGTTTTTATTTAAAGTTTGTAACATATTAAACTAAAATTTGGACCTTACTAAATTTTATTTTTGACTCCAATCAATCAATATCAACATACAACAGCATGAGCATGTATGTGATAGTCATTGGTAGTCACAACTAGCTATTCCCCTCTCAACATTCGCAGAAACATCGCCCGCCGTTACAATTCATGATCTTGCAACCTTTGGGACAGAACTTGGCACAATCTTTGTCCTTATGGCACGACGATGTCGCATCGATCTCCGTCATGGGAGACGAAACCGGTATGCAGTTACAGTCTTTCTGACCCGATGGACATCCTCCTATGCAGTTCAGTCCCTCTTTCTCCATCTCTCTCGCTTCGGTCACCGAAAATGATGAACCTAGACTTACACATACACATACATTTTGGAAGAAAACAATAACGTTAAAAGATATAACAATTTAATCTATATATATATATGTTTCGTTACACATGTATGAACATTCAAGATTAAGAGATCGAAGAGATAGAATAGAGGATACGAGACTAACAAAATGCAATAAGGGCGATCACAGCCAAGAAAGCTAGTTTCAAAGAAATCTTCTCCATTTTTTATTTTAATTGTTATTGATGTTTTTTAAAATGTTGTTGCATGTATTTATAATGGGTTAATACTTTAATGGTTATGATTTTGGGTAAAGTGTTAATTATAACCATACCTATACATACTTAATGTGGGAGATACTAACTGAGTATGTCTTTATTTAAGTTCTATATCGGTCAACAAGGTATCAAATGGGTGTCGGATAGGATTTTAACCATATTCTATATGGTATCATACCATGCATGTCTTTGACTATTAAATACCAATGTATTATGGTAGGATTTTGACCATATTCTATATGATATCATACCATTCATGTAATTTGACTATTTAAATACCAAATGTATTAGGATTTTGATAATGGTAGTAATATTATTTCTAAAATTTTAACATGCGATATATACAAATAACAGAAAAAAGATAGTGTAGAATAAAATAAAATTAGGTTTTTTGAATTATATTCTAATAAAATTCGCATGGATTCTAGATACGGAAATCATAAAATTGACGTTTATTCGTGGAATTTAACGAATATTGGAATGATTTAATGTTATTGGGTGAAATAAAAAATATTCTCTATTTTTTTGACTTGACATAGTATTAGAATTATGAAAAATATTTTTTATAATATTTGGTCCAATGGATTTGAACCTTGGTTGTGTCGTTGAACAAACGACTATTTTGATTGCCAAGAAGAGAGGGTACAAATGATGTATACAAAGAATATAATATATACCGTTATCAAAAAAAGAAAAAGAGCCGATATAGTACGATCTAAAAAGTATGTAAGTACTAAAACTTATTTATTTCACATTTTATCACAATATTAGGATGTTCTTTTGTTTTTTTTTTTTTTTGTCTTAGTCAATCAATCTTTTGTTTCCCCCATAAATTATTTTTTTAGTTTTGAAAACCAATAAATAATCACATAAATGTTTATAGCCATATATAAATTATGAATATGATGTTCCAATTATTTTAACTTATTACCTTTCTTGTTCCATCTTACTTAAGTTTTCCCTTTTTAAATAAAACTGTTGTTTTTTATTTTATTTAATTAAAATCTTCTTAATAAAGAAAAGAAAGTAAAAGTTGCCCATTACCGGACAAAATATTTAGAATATGATAAATGCATGCGAGCAAGCTATTAGTTCAAATGCTTGTTCACTTCTAGATAGCCGTAAGTTCAAACCTTAACTTTAGGATAATATGTTTCATTTAATTTATGAGTTCATACAAAACAAAGTATACACAACGTTATAAAATAAGGATAAGTTTTAAAAAATTTAATATTCACGACAATTGTATTCTGTTGATAAATTAATTGAATATATATATATATATATATATATCAAATATTTTGTATTATTTAGACGTTTTCCAGGATAACTCGGTTGAATACGTTAATATTAGACATATATGAAAACATTTATAATTGATAAAGCTTTATTCGATATTTATTTATTTATTTATTTATAGCAATTAGGACACAAAACGGCCTCAATATCCTACGGAGGTCGCGACAACAAAGTCACATGTGCAAAAGCCTTTAACACAAATAGGTCCATTGCCATAGCATATAAGAGTTCTACAGTCTTTGTCGGTCGTGCATTTCTTCTTCGACTTGTCCTCTCCAACATCTTCCATCACTCTCGTACATTTCACATCTGTCATTACACAAATATATATAACACTATCAAAAAATCATATATATATATATATATATATGGATAACTAAAAAAGGGTATCATAAGGCTCTTGAAAGTCTTATCTTAATACTATGTTTTAATAAATTAAATTAAATAAATATATTATATATATACAAATGTCTCATTGAAGCTAATAATGTTCAAGATGAAGGACTCACGAGACATTGTGATCAAGAGAGCAAAGAGGATTACGGTGAAGTAAGTCTTCGACATAACCGTTTTTTATTTTGTTGTTAAAAAAGATATGAAAAATGTTTTGATGCAATTGTTGGAGAGGCCAAGAACTCTAGTTCTACTTATAGGTTTAGAACTATAAACACCAAATCTATTTGGATTTTGTTATGTATAATAATATTATTACCAAAATTTAATACGCAATCTCAATAATAGAGAATAGAAACTTCGAAAAATAAAATAAAATAACAGTTTTTTTTGTTTATTCAAAGAAAAACATGTAGATATCAAAATTTATATGAAAACTCTAAGGTTAACATTTGGCAGTAGAATTTAACAAATATTGGGATAATTAAGTATCGCTGGATGAAATCAAACATTGGTCTCTATATTTTGACTTTATAAAATATCTAAATTAGGAATACATGTTTCTTGAACAAATCTCTATTCGATAACAAGAATGAAAGGTAAATATAACGTAAATATTATCATTTATATTATAAATAATAAGAACTAGATTAGAAACTATTCATACAGCATATAAATTTTAGATGTATATATTATTTTGATTGTCAATATAAATTGTATGAAATATTTAATAAATATGTTTGGGATATACGGAGAGTTTAATCTAGTTAGAAGATGATTATATGTAAAAAATATTGTATTGTCAGATAGCATATCTACCGAATTTCATTTCATTTATGTATTACTAGATATCTTTTGTATATTTTACACTTCGAAGTAAATGCGGAAACAACCCGAAGTACTTAGAGCTGAAAACGAAGGACATTGCCGAGCATGACACATGATTGGACGATCTTTGAGTCACGATCGATCGATCGATCGCCTCATCAGAGAGTCGTTTATATTATCTTACTCCGCATAAATTAATTGAAAATATAAAAATAAAGATTAAGTTATTCGTCGCCAAAAAACAAATTATTATTTATTATAAATAATAGTTATTAATTTTACCCTAATATAGCGGTAACTATTATTATTTTAAAATTTTTTTTGTTAGATTGGATAATAATTCGATCATATTTTAATGATTATAGTAAGAGCTTTTTTCCCCCCAAACTTCATAATAATTAAGTTTTTCTCAAATTATAACTTATTATTTTTTGAGATCTGCCCTTACTTGTACGCATCGTTCATATATCGAAGTATTTGTGATTCACCTTTTATATATATGGTTTTAGTGTGCCAGATGTCTAGTTCTAACGATTAAATTAAAATTTAGTTTTTTCGATATTTCTCAATAAATTATGCTTTATTCCATTTAATCACCATCACCATCATAAAAAAATTATCGCCATAGATCGAAATTGAGTAGAATCTAAAATTGTCATTGTAAACGCATGTGTCCTTGTGTTCGACTCTAGATACTACGATTAATCCGTATATTTACGGTAATTATGTCTAGAAAAATAAAATAAACTTAGATCGCACCCTAGATCACCATCACTTGTACCTTATCAAGGTATTCACCATTCATGCTTATTGTTTTAGTGTGACAAATATGTAGTTTTAATGATTATAGTAAATTTTAGTTTTTTTGTATTTCTCAATAAATTATGAATGAGAATATAAAAAATACTCGATATAAGCATTTTTAGTTTTTATTTAAAATTTGTAACATATTAAACTAAAATTCACCCCCTTACTAAGTTTTTTTTTTACTCCAATCAATAAACATCAACATGCAACACCATGAGCATATATGTGATAGTCACTGGGAGTCACAACTAGTTATTCCCCTCTCAACATTCACAGAAACATCTACCGCCGTTACAATTCATGATCTTGCAACCTTTGGGACAGAACTTGGCACAATCTTTGTCCTTATGACACGACGATGTCGCATCGATCTCCGCCATGGGAGGCGAAACTGGTATGCAGTTACAGTCTTTCTGGCCCGGTGGGCATCCTCCTATGCAGTTCAGTCCCTCTTTCTCCATTTCTCTCGCTTCGGTCACCGAAAATGATGAACCTAGACATACATATACACATACATTTTGGAAGAAAACAATAACGTTAAAAGATATAACAATTTAATCTATATATATATGTATGTTTCATTACACACGTATGTTTCGTTACACACGTATGAACATTCGAGATTAAGAGATCGAAGAGATAGAATAGAGGATACGAGACTAACAAAATGCAATAAGGGCGATCACAGCTAAGAAAGCTAGTTTCAAAGAAATCTTCTCCATTTTTTTATTTTAATTGTTGTTGATGTTTTTTAAAATGTTGTTGCATGTATTTATAATGGGTTAGTACTTCAATGGTTATGATTTTGGGTAAGTTGTTAATTATAACCATATCTATACATAATTAATGCGGAAGATACTAACTGTGTATGTTTTTATTTAAGTTCTATATCGGTCAACTAGGTATAGGATTTTGACCATATTCTATATGGTATCATACCATGGATGTCTTTGACTATTTAAATACCAAATGTATTCTATTTCTGGTACGATTTGGCCATATTCTATATATATGGTATCATACCATACATGTCTTTGACTATTTAAATACCAAATGTGTGACACCCGAAACCCGTATCCCGCAATACAAGTTGCGCCACATGGACAAGTAAAATAAAAATCGCATTTCCAAAAAATCCGCGGGAATTTAAACTTTTATTTTTAGAGTTCAGCGGAAGAAACTTTCTTACATACATATACGGTACATTATTCTAGTTATAATTATACATACACAGTGGTAGTATCACATTATTACAAACCATAAAAGTCTACCACCGATATAACACAAACCGTTCCCCGAAAACGTAATTGTACCGTAGAGAATAATTATACATGATCACACGGCAGGTCACACCAGTCTTCGATGTCCGCTCCTCGGCTACTGTTGCTCACGACCTGAAACGTTGCGTAACAACGTCCTAAGCTAATTGCTTAGAGAGTGAACTCGGGCGTAACCCGGAGTTCCATTCTCATGGTGCCAGGGAAAACACAAGCATATATATATATGTGTGTATATACTAGTATTCTAATAAACAGTAATTGAAAACATGAATCACTGTAAGCACGCAGCAATCACAATCAAGTCCGTACGACAAGTCGGCCGTACGACAAGTCGCAGGACAGAGTCCGTCAAATCGTCTCTACGCGCACCATGCGTAGGTAGGTACTCCCCATGTGCGTAGCACAACCACCTCTCTCCTCGGATTCCATCTACTCCGCACACACTCGGAATCCGGCATAAGTATCGTTTTATTTTTCTCCGCCCGAACACATCACCCCACCCTAGCATCGATGGCACCTCTCGATGCTAGGCGGGTCCCCGCTCCGGCATTGATGTCGCTTCTCAATACCGGAGTTCACCTGACGTCGGCTACAACCGACGCCGTCGACTATAACGAGAGAGCCAATCGCTGCAACTCTCCCTCGCCGACCATCCGCCGCGGAAATACTTGTCAGGTTCGGGCCCGAACCTGGCAGAGTAAGTCCGTACCACCTCCTCGGGGGACCACAATCCACCCGAATCTCAGGTATATGTATTGCCTCATCCTCGGGAGACTCATCTCCCGGAATCCGCTCCGTCGCTAGCGGATACGTTGGCGCGGTTCTAAAAACCGTGTGTTCCTCGTCACGCAATAGTACTGACTACAATCGGCCTGTCGTTCGGGGTGCCCATAACCGTCCTGTCGTTCGGACGTTGGCGCGATTACATTATCGCCACATTCACAATCATATCCCATATCTACGGAATCCAACATGAGGAGTTGCGTGCTTTGATTACGTCAAACGTCCTGCGTAACAGGAGGATTATAAAGGCGTGTGTCAGGTACGAAACGAATCATGTACTGGATTGTAGATAGTCAAGACGG